ACGTATTGCCGATGGAATATAATGGATAGTGCAGTATAACTTTTTCTTCTTATTTAGCCCTTTTACATATTGGACTGACCATACAAAAGTAACAATTTCTGTACTGTGCATTACAGATCTGTTGAGGTCTCTCCAAATCATGGCAAGCGAAATTGCAGATTTTTAGTATATTCAACACAGTACCAGTGCCGTCCCACAGTAATTGCAGCAGAATATGTAATGCCCAGCTCTTGTATCAGGTCTCTAGTAATCAGAGTTGCAGCCAGGAAATGTAACACAAGTTGTAGGCTTTCAATATTCCTGTTATCACAGTACTTTTTTGTCAGATAAAAGTAATTCAGAGGTCAGTAGTATGTAACACACATTGCTTTAGATTCAGTAACAAGTAATTGAGGCATTCAAGGGTCAGCCTATAATGTAACACATAGTACAGGGGTAATGTAATGCAGAGGTCAGTGTATGTAATACACAATACAGATACTGCAGTATTTTACAGTGCAGAGGTTAAGGGGCGTGAGTGCAATTGTAAAGGCAGTGGTCAGCAGTATGTATTCAGAGAGCAGGGGTCAATCAGTATAGAGCATGCAGTTCTAGGTCAATCTGAGTTCAAGGGTCAGGAATATGTAACAACAGTTGCAGGGGTCAAGAGTAATTTTGAATGCACAGTACGTCAGGAATTAAGAATGTAGAGGTCAGTAGTATGTAACACAGTACAGAGATCAGTAGCAATCTTTTCAAGGGTCAGGAGTATTAACACACAGTTTTCAGCGGTCAGGAATAAGTAATGCAGAGGTCAGTAGTTTTATGCCCAGTACAGAGATCTGTAACAAATTGAATTGAGTTCAAGGGTCAGGAGAATGTAGCACACAGTACAGGGGTCAAGAGTATATAATGCACAGTACGGGGGTCAGGCATAAGTAATGCAGAGGTCAGTAGTATGTAACACAGTACAGAGATCAGTAGCAATCTGAGTTCAAGGGTCAGGAGTATGTAACACACAGTACAGCGGTCAGGAATAAGTAATGCAGAGGTCAGTAGTTTGTAACACACAGTACAGAGATCTGTAACAAATAATTAGAGTTCAAGGGTCAGGAGAATGTAACACACAGTACAGGAGTCAGGAATAAGTAATGCAGAGATCAGTAGTTTGTAACACACAGTACAGAGATCACTAACAAGTAATCGGAGTTCAAGGGTCAGAAGTATGTAACACACAGTACAGGGGTCAGGAATAAGTAATGCGGAGGTCAGTAACAAGTAATCGGAGTGCAAGGGTCAGGAGAATGTAAAACACAGTACAGGGATCAAAAGTATATAATGCACAGTACAGGGGTCAGGAATAAGTAATGCAGAGGTCAGTAGTATGTAACACAGTACAGAGATCAGTAACAAGTAATCTGAGTTCAAGGGTCAGGAGAATGTAATGCACAGTACTGGGGTCAAGAGTATATAATGCACAGTACAGGGGTCAGGAATAAGTAATGCAGGGGTCAGTAGTATGTAACACAGTACAGAGATCAGTAACAAGTAATCTAAGTTCAAGGGTCAGGAGAATGTAACACACAGTACAGGGTCAAGAGGATATAATGCACAGTACAAGGGTCAGGAATAAGTAATTCAGAGGTCAGTAGTATGTAATGTACAGTACAGAAGTCAGTAGCAAGTAATGCAGAGGTTAAGGGGCGTGAGTATGTATTGCAGAGTGCAGTGGTCAGCAGTATGTAATTCAGAGAGCAGGGGTCAATAGTATAGAGCACACAGTGCAGGGGCAGGAATAAGTAATGTGGGAGTCAGTAGTAAGTAATGCAGAGTTCAGAGGTTAGGATTGTCTAACACAGAGCGCAGGCATCAGGACTAAGTAACACATCTCTCCCCTAACAGCTAAAATACCCCCCTTTTCAGTGTAAACACCTTCTGCCTCCCTCTGTAAAATTCTATCACCAGAACACCACAGATTCAGACTCGGCAGAGAGGAAATGCCTTCCAGGTCTCCCCTCGGCTGTGTCATATGACAGTGACAGCCAAGGAGGAGTCTGGAACTACCTTCAGATGGGTATTCACGTTGCTGTTCTGATCTAATGTCTGAGAGGCAGCACCGTCATGATCAGCGAGTAGCCGAGACCAGTGCTAGACAGGGAAGGTTTGGCCTTCTTTATTTTAAAATATTTTTTTGTTAGGATCCATTTCTGCTGACTGGAGAGGCAACTAACATGAGTTGTATACAAACCAGCTTGCAGCTTCTTTATGTACTTTACACGTTTCTGAGGTCACCTTGATGTCAAGGATTCGGTTTGGAGACTTTGCAACAAAGGAGCCCCATCCATCACCTCTGCCTGGAGCCCCACATCGCGTGACATGCTGTTTGATGCCATGATAAGTATTGTTTGCTCCTTCTACCTCTGCAACCACCTCAGCATACCAGGGGATGGAGCTTACTCGGACGGAGGGATGACGTCAACCCCTCGCATTTGTCATCGTTTGGGTCCAGCAACTGGCTGCAAGGACCAAGCACCAGGGTTGCCAATCGTCTGTAAAAAGTCCTAATTTTAACACGTGTTCCTCAATGTCTGTTGCAGGACATAAAGGGGTTGATTTACTAAAACCGGAGAGTGCAAAATCCGGTTCAGCTCTGCATAGACACCAATCAGCTTCCAGGTTTTGATGTCAAAGCTTAATTGAACAAGCTGAAGTAAGAAGCTGGTTGGCTACTGTACACAGCTGCACCGGATTTCATACTCTCCTTTTTTTAGTAAATCAACCCTGAAGTATCTGTAAAATACTGTGCATAGCCACACACAGTGCAGCCAATAGATTTAGACTGGTCCATCTTGCAACTTCAGAGGCTAATGATTCTTTTCCTGCTACGCACCTCTGCAGTTATTGTCACCTCCCGCCCACCACTGCCAGCTCTAGGGGTAGGTTGCTTGGACTGCCCGGGGTCCTAGCAACTAAGCACATGCTTGCTCCACCCCCCAACATTCAGAGAAGGAGGAGGAATCTGCTGCCACTGCCCTGCCTCCCAGCTTCATGTGTGGCTGCTGCTTCTGCACTAACAGACCAGAGTGGTTTAGTGGACTCTGATGCAAGAAAGTGAGGAACCTCTGGAGAGAGAGACCCTCAAATAATGTTGAAGGAGGGGCGTTGACTCTGAAGACCGTAATGTAAGAAGGGGTTTTGGGGACCTTGATGTTAGGGAGGGTGATGCTTTTGGGAACCTGATGTAATGGTGGTGGCTCTGGTTACCCTGATACAAGGCGGTGCCACTCTAGGGTCTCTGTTGTAAGGTGGCGGGACTCATATAAGGAGGTGGCATGGTGGGGGCACTGATGTAAGGTGGTGGCACTCATGTAAGGAGGTGGCAAGGTGGTGGCACTCATGTAAGAAGGTGGGGGCACTCATGTAAGGTGGTGGGTACTCATGTAAGGAAGTGACACGGTGGGGGCACTGATGTAAGGTGGTGGCACTCTAGGGCAGGGTTTCTCAACCAGGGGTCTGTGGAACCCTTGGGTTCCTCCAGAGGTTGCCAGGGGTTCCTTTAGCAAAGAGCAATTTTTGCATCTCAGGTAAGTTCTCAATGACACCATTGGTCTTTTTAGCCATCTGTAAGGGGGTAATTCTTCCCAATGACCATAAGTGTAAGGAACATTCTTACCTCTGACTATCACACTAGTGTATAATGAATTGTAGATATAGTAATTTTTAGCAGGGGTTCCCTGAGAATGAAAAGTTATGTCAAGGGGCTTCCTCTGCATCATGAAAAGGTTGAGAAAGGCTGCTCTAGGGGCTCTGATGTAAGGTGGCGGGACTCATGTAAGGAGGTGGCATGGTGGGGGCACTGATGTAAGGTGGTGGGACTCATGTAAGGAGGTGGCATGGTGGTGGCACTGATGTAAGGTGGTGGGACTCGTGTAAGGAAGTGGCATGGCAGGGGCACTGATTTAAGGTGGTGGCACTAGGGGCTCTGATGTAAGGTGGTGGGACTCATGTACGGAGGTGGCATGGTGGGGGCACTGATGTTAGGTGGTGGCGCTCTGGGGGCTCTGACGCAAGGTTGGGCACTCTTGGGACACTGATTTAAGGTGGTGGCACTAAGGGCGCTAATGTAAGAGAGGACTCTGATGTGAATATGGCGCTCATCCTGGCTGCTGCCCTCCATATATTATTTTGTTTGTTACTTACTGCCGTGCACTCTATAAATTATATTGTACATAGACTTGACCAAAGCATTCGTTGTCTTAACAGTTGCTGGTTTTGATGAAATTCTTTAGTCACTTGCCCTCCAGAGGATTTAACCCCCTTCCTGACCAGGCTATTTTTTTGTGATACTGTACTGCATTACTTCAGTTGACAATTGTACGGTCATGCAACGCTGCACCCTGACATTTGGGGGATATCTGTACTGTTCTGACATTTGGGGGATATCTGTACTGTTCTAACATTTGGGGGATATCTGTCCTGTTCTAACATTTGGGGGGATATCTGTCCTATTCTGACATTTGGGGGATATCTGTCCTGTTCTAACATTTGGGGGATATCTGTACTGTCCTGACATTTGGGGGATATCTGTCCTGTTCTAACATTTGGGGGGATATCTGTACTGTCCTGACATTTGGGGGATATCTGTCCTATTCTGACATTTGGGGGATATCTGTCCTGTTCTAACATTTGGGGGATATCTGTACTGTTCTGACATTTGGGGGATATCTGTACTGTTCTGACATTTGGGGGATATCTGTCCTGTTCTAACATTTGGGGGATATCTGTACTGTCCTGCCATTTGGGGGATATCTGTCCTGTTCTAACATTTGGGGGATATCTGTACTGTTCTGACATTTGGGGGATATCTGTCCTGTTCTGACATTTGGGGGATATCTGTACTGTTCTGACATTTGGGGGGATATCTGTACTGTTCTGACATTTGGGGGATATCTGTACTGTTCTGACATTTGGGGGGATATCTGTCCTGTCCTGACATTTGGGGGATATCTGTACTGTTCTGACATTTGGGGGATATCTGTACTGTTCTGACATTTGGGGGGATATCTGTCCTGTTCTAACATTTGGGGGATATCTGTACCATCCTGACATTTGGGGGATATCTGTACCATCCTGCCATTTGGGGGGATATCTGTACCGTCCTGACATTTGGGGGATATCTGTACTGTCCTCCATTTGGGGGATATCTGTACTGTCCTGCCATTTGGGGGATATCTGTACTGTTCTGACATTTTTGGGCCTCAAGAAATTAGATTGACTGTCAGTACTTCATGATTGATCAATTTTCAGATATATCCCATAGTTTGTGAACTCTATAACTTTCCTACAGACTATATAATAAATACTAATTTGGGTTATTTTCGCCAGAGAAATGTAGCAGAATACATCTTGGCCTAAGTTTATGAAGAACAAATATTTATTTGCAAACTTTTATAACAGAAACAAAGAAAAACGTGTGGTTTTTTTTTCAAAATTTTCAGTCTTTGTTAATTTAGCAAAAAATAAAAACTCCAGTGGTGATTAAATACCACCAAAAGAAAGCTCTAGTTGTGTGAACAAAATGATAAAAAACTTAGTTTGGGTACAGTATTGCATGACTGTTCAATTGTCATTAAAAGTGTGAGTGAGAGCACTGAAACCTGAAAATTGGCCTGGGCAGGAAGGGGGTAAAAGTGCCCGGTAATGAAAGGGTTAAGGAGGGCTGTCTTGAGTGATTGTTTCATATTGCGCCTTGTCCTCAAGGATGAGATAGCTGCTCTTTCCAATATATTTTTTCTATCTGATGTATTTCTCCATATAATTTTTCCTGATGGCGTTTCCAGTGGTGCTGTCCATATTTCTAATATTATGTTCCTGACCCATCAACGCCTGGACACCACTAGACCTCTGAAGGTACGCTGTGGTATCTGGTACCAAGCCATTGGTAGCAGGTCCTTCAGGTCCTCTAAATTGGGAGGTGGGGCCTCCATGGATCAAGCTTGTTTCTCCAGCACATCCCACATATGCTTAGTTAGACTGAGAGAATTTTGAGGCTCAAACTCGTGTTCCTCAAACCATTCTTGAACCATGTTTGCAGTGTGACCGGGTGCATTATCCTGCTGAAAGGGGCCACCACCATCAGGGGATACCGTTTCCATGAAGGGTTGTGGCTGGTCACCAACAATGTTTAGATAGGTGGTACGTTTCAAAGTAACATCCACATGAATGGCGGAGCCTAGGTGTCCCATCAGAACATTGCCCAAAGCATCACACTGCCTCCGCCGGCTTGTCTTCTTCTCATACTACATCCTGGTGCCATCTCTTCCCCTGGTAAGTGACGCACACACACCTGTTCAAGCCATCACTTACCTGCAATCACCACTAGAAACAGTAGTGCCCCTAGGAGGATGGATACGAGTCACTTCTATCAGTTTTCATGTCTGCGGACACAGGAAGGAATATCTCTCTTCGGTGGCATGAAATATAAAATATTTATAAAATCCTAATCTTTAAAAAACAAAAATGTGGTCAGACACCTCAAACCTCCGATTAGACCTTACCCTTTCACAATAGGTGGATTGTACATTTTCTTCCATCAGCCAGCTTTCCAATTGTTTACCGCCGGTTTTGTTCTGGTGTAATTACCCAGAACGCTGTATTAAAGCCTCTGGTCCCAGGCACTCTGCAATATATAAAAATAAGAAGTGCTGAAGGGGTGTGACCGCCTGTCAGTCCTGTCGTCTCACACATTAACCTCCCACATGCTGCTGCTCTTCCATATACAGTACTCCTCTAGGAAGCATTTGCAGGATTCTCCTATGGCCTATATTGCAGTACATGTTAAAGCCACCAACAAGGTCAAAGTGACCCTTCTCCATTCATGTCTATTGAAGGGTTTGGCCTTTGGCTGGTATTGGAGGCATTACAATGTGTATGAGCCTGGAATGCCTCATACAAAAGTCTACAAGATATAAGTATATCAGTTTTCATCGGGATCACAGTGTTGAGAGAGTTAATGCAGAATATTGGGTGAACCCATGACTGAATAGACATCACCTGACACATGCATCTGTTTCCCCACATAAGATTCTCCCTGCCCATTTGTGTCTCCATGAGAAACTCTCTATAACATTTGTGTCTCCATCAGACACTCCCTATACATTTGTGTCTCCATCAGTGTCTCCCTGTCCATTTGTGTCCCCATCAGAGCCCCCTGCACACTTGTATCCATCAGAATCTCCCCATACATCTGTTTCCCCATCAGAGTCTACCTACCCATTTGTGTCCCCAACAGAGTCTCCCTGCCCATTTGTGTCCCTATCAGAGCCCCCTGCACACTTGTATCCACCAGAATTTCCCCATACATCTATTTCCCCATCAGAGTCTACCTGCCCATTTGTGTCCCCAACAGAGTCTCCCTGCCCATTTGTGTCCTCAACAGAGTCTCCCTGCCCATTTGTGTCCCCAGCAGAATATCCCCAAATATCTCTCCCCATCAGATTCCCTCTGCCCATTTGTGTCCCCAACAGAGTCTCACCAATCATCTGTTTCCCCATCAGATTCTCCCTGCCCATTTGTGTCACCAACACAGTCTCCCTAAACATCTGTTTCCCCATCAGATTCTCCCTGACCATTTACGTCGCCAACAGAGTCTCCCCAAACATCTGTTTCTCCATCAGATTCTTCCTGCCCATTTGTATCCCCATCAGAGTCTCCCCAAACATCTGTTTCCCCATCAGATTCCCTCTGCCCATTTGTGTCCCCATCAGAGTCACCCTGCCCATTTGTGTCTCCACCAGAATCTCCTAAACATCTGTTTCCCCATCAGATTCTCCCTGCCCATTTGTGTCCTCATCAGAATATCCCGAAACATCTGTTTCCCCATCAGATTCTCCCTGCCCATTTGTGTCCTGATCAGAATATCCCCAAACATCTGTTTGCCCATCAGATTCCCTCTGCCATTTGTGTCCCCATCAGAGTCACCCTGCCCATTTGTGTCCCCACCAAAATCTCCCAAAACATCTGTTTCCCCATCAGATTCCCTCTGCCCATTTGTGTCCCCATCAGAGTCGCCCTGCCCATTTGTGTCGCCAACAGAGTCTCCTCAAACATCTGTTTCCCCATCAGATTCTCCCTGACCATTTACGTCGCCAACAGAGTCTCCCCAAACATCTGTTTCCCATCAGATTCTTCCTGCCCATTTGTGTCCCCATCAGAGTCTCCCCAAACATCTGTTTCCCCATCAGATTCCCTCTGCCCATTTGTGTCCCCATCAGAGTCGCCCTGCCCATTTGTGTCTCCACCAGAATCTCCTAAACATCTGTTTCCCCATCAGATTCTCTCTGCCCATTTGTGTCCTGATCAGAATATCCCCAAACATCTGTTTCCCCATCAGATTCCCTCTGCCCATTTGTGTCCCCATCAGAGTCACCCTGCCCATTTGTGTCCCACCAAAATCTCCCAAACATCTGTTTCCCCATCAGATTCCCTCTGCCCATTTGTGTCCCCATCAGAGTCGCCCCCTGCCCATTTGTGTCGCCAACAGAGTCTCCTCAAAACATCTGTTTCCCCATCAGATTCTCCCTGACCATTTACGTCGCCAACAGAGTCTCCCCAAACATCTGTTTCTCCATCAGATTCTTCCTGCCCATTTGTGTCCCCATCAGAGTCTTCCCAAACATCTGTTTCCCCATCAGATTCCCTCTGCCCATTTGTGTCCCCATCAGAGTCGCCCTGCCCATTTGTGTCTCCATCAGAATCTCCTAAACATCTGTTTCCCCATCAGATTCTCCCTGCCCATTTGTGTCCTGATCAGAATATCCCCAAACATCTGTTTCCCCATCAGATTCCCTCTGCCCATTTGTGTCCCCACAGAATCTCCCAAACATTTGTGTTCATCATCAGATTCCCTCTGCCCCTTTGTGTCCCCCTCAGAATATCCTCAAACATCTGTTCCCCATCAGATTCTCCTGCCCTTTTTTCCCTTCAGAGACTACCTGCACATTTGTGACCCCATCAAAAACTCCCTATACATCTCTGTCCCATTCGGAAGGGCCCCCCAACACTTGTGTTCCCATTACCGTTCAGTGCAGAACTGTTGCACCCCCCAGCTCCCACAGTTAAATTCAGTGTCCTTTACTACTACCATTTCACATACAGCATGCCTGTGTAACAGCGGAGCAGGGAGGTGCAGTAGGTCTGCACTGAAATAATCTGTGCTTTGCCAGCTTTCTCTGGTTGTGGGACATGTGATGCACACCCTGAATGCCTGTCAGTATGCAGAGCAAGTCCCATAACTTGAGCAGGGACCATCCCTGCAGTCAAGGAATGCCTGGAAAAAAAAGGTTTTAGTAGGCCAGATGTGGCCCGCAGACCGTACTTTGGAGACCCATGCCCTAGACATAAATGAGAATCCCAGCCCCACTGCAAGGGATTATTTTTTTTATTTTCCTGGAGTTAGAGTTGAAGGAAAAAAGGGAAAATTTTAAAGGGCAGTGAGTTTCACATTTTGGGCTGTGAGGACAACTAGTTTGCAGAAGACAGAAAGAGGCCATCTAGGTCAACAATCTCTTAATTGGGGTCAGGGGGAGTTTGATGCCATTGTCATCTTTATGAAATGCCATTTTAACATCTCCACCTTGGCAGTTTGACAACAATATACACCTTCAGTTACGTAACCCAAAGGGTTAACACTAGTTCCAGACTTCACAGCACTATGGATTGGATTACCGGGGAGAAGACAAGAAAGAAGCCATCTACTGTAGGTCAACAATCCCTTAATTGAGGTCCGGGGGAGTTTGACGCCATTGCCATCTTTATAAAATGCCATTTTAACATCTCCACCGTGGCAATTTGACAAAGTGTCGGAATTACCTGTGTGGCCAGGGTAGGTTTCTGACACTCGTTACGGCTAAAGAAGCCACCAGCTGCAAAACATCTCCAACATTACAGAACAAGGGGAGTTTCACAAACTTTCACACCTCCCATGTTCTTGTACAGCAAACATCTGGGTGAAGGTGTCTCCACCGTGGCAACTTGACAAAGTGTCGGAATTACCTGTGTGGCTGGGAGTAGCTTCCTGCCACTCGTTACGGCTGAGGAAGCCACCAGCTGCGAAACATCTCTAACATTACAGAACGAGACCAGTTAAAGGTGACTAACTAGTATTAGAAAGAGGCCATCTACGTCAACAATCCCTTAATTGGGGTCGGGGGGAGTTTGACAGCATTGTCATCTTTATAAAATGCCATT